TGATTTTCAACCAACAAAAGTGAGCTTCTTAGTTATGGATTCAATCGCGTGTACACCTACATCATGTAACAGGCTCTGTTTAAGATTCTGATTCAAGATGGCTGATCGTAATGTTCGTGCTAAAATGAATTACGATTGTCATCGACAGAATAAAGGAAGGAATTTCCCAAATAAAACTGGCTCTACTTTGTATCATGTTTATCACATGAGTGTAAATAATTATTTGGCACTAATATTGTCAGTCACTAAAAGCTGGACGGGGACTTACTTTCATATTTCATTTTCATAGCTACAGTTGTAAGGTTTCCTTTTGCTGGAGAAACCTTTTTTTCTTGTTCATTGTTACAGATTTGGACTGGACTCCCGCGAGTACATGATAATTAAAACAAAGTAAAAAGAAATGGTGACCTAGAGAGGGCTCTGTCTATGTCTAGCGCCTTCTGTTACTTAACAATGTGTTTATCATATTTGAATGCCTGACAATTGAAACAGAATAGAACACAACTATGTAACGTCTGTATTGATAAACGTATATTTATTGACAACTGATGGCGGCCATGCCGTTTAGGTATCCCATAATGCTACAGAGTCATCACTATAGTAACATATCTTGTGATGTCAAAGGTCATGCATAAATATTGATATAGGACATTACAAACTGGACTGCAAGTATTTGCATAATAGTTCCATTTTCACTAAATTTATACTCTAAGGATAAAATATAAAAGAGGATGCAATGAAAGAGTTGTTCCAAAATTCAACCTCATGGGAATGCACTTTATAAAGCTGGTGTGAAACTTGTATGTAATTTTGGATAAACTTGAAATTGTGCTGCTTCATAGACCAACAGACCATGGCTTATTCGAGATGGTTAACTAACTAGTTTAGCAAAAATATTTTTTTCTCATTTGCTGTAATTTGTTCGTATTTAAGCCGATTAGCGATTTGTCAATTCATGGCATGGGGCTTGTGTTGTGGGGGTTATGATTCGTGACTGGGTTATATTCAAAACAAGTAAGAAATGCCAGGCTATGCAAACAAATCAATCACAGGAAACGAATACTGTAAAGGGGGTAATTATTCACTGTGTTTTAATTTAGCTTATTTCGCTGACTGGAAACATGCGCTAAATTAAAACACAGTGAATATGTAAAATTTAGCATAGAACACATTATCTAAGTGACGAAACCGTGAATTTAAAACCCACTAAATATGTCTGAAATGGTAGATCAGTGAAATTTAAGCCCAGTGAAAATTAGTCATTTTACAGTACGTAAGTAATAAACATGTAAGAGTAGTTTATTACGTCAATACAGTATATCCACTGATACACCGGAGAATTTACCATAAAGAGATATGTAAACAAACGTTGAACACAACAACGCGGTAAAGACTGGCGCTAAAATACTTGCGCATCCTATTTATAGGCTCCGTAGGATACTGAACACTAGGCGGGAATGTCCCTCATTGGTCGAAAGTTAACATTATAGAAATGCGTAATAAAGTGGTGTTTTCGCACTTGTCAACAACATGTCTATTTATAGACGTGGTTCAAAACAAAAATGGTGCATGTAATCAAATATATAAAAGTACTCAAACACAGTATTTAAGAAAACTTCGATAATACAATAATCAGTGTTTTCAATAATAACGATCAAATGTGTGCTTACATAACACTTGTCTTGGATAGCAAGAAACCTGTGTCACAAGGTGGCAGGTGACAATACTGAGCGATTTGGGTTAATCATAGAAGGTACTACCTTCCATGGGTTAATCAAGCTAATCGATGTAATAATTAAACCAAATATTTCGCTTCTTTGTGACAAAAATGTAGTTATTTGGACCCTGGAAGACTGAAATCATTACTATGTCCGTAGTCATTATGGTTATACTAAATGTTCAATGTTTAGATACGGAAGCATGAGTATTGAATGGAATTGTCATGTTATACCCACGGG